TGTTGAAAGAAATGAAAAGAAAGCAAAAGGAAAATCCTGACCAAAATACTACTCTGTTTTCCATCTTCATTCATGATCCCCTGTCATATGCCATACCTAGACCCCAGTTCCAACATCTGATCCTGAACCAGAGCATTAAAAGTGCATCTTCTTTTAATCTCAATGACCGTAGTTCAGGTCAATCAGGCAAGAACAACACTGCCACAGTCAAAGTCCCACAAGGGCACCCTCCTTACCCACTAGGGAGAGAGTTTACAGTAGAAAACAGGATCTCCTAATCTTGATCTTCATTCTCTTTATAGTTAGAGTCTACATTTCAATATTAATCCATCCTCTCCAAAATGGGAAATAATTATCTTTAGTTCCATAAGAGATCTAATCCAAACCCTTTTTGTGACCCTTTGTTTTGTTTGTGAAGTCTTTTATCCCTCTGAATGAACGCTTTAGGCATATGACATAATTTTTAATGTAATTGTAAGTAAAAAGTTATATTTCTAATATTACTAATGTTTTTAGGTCGTTTGTTTGATTATTTTTCGTTAGTAGTTTTTTCTTTTTAATAAAAAAAAGAATGTGATCTAAACTATTTGATCATACTCTCTCTGAATTTTTAAGAATGGTATGCCATATTCACAATAGATTTGATACATTTTGTGTTTGTAGAGTGATTATGTTAATCCCAGTATCTTGTTATAGTTGAAACAAGGCATAGTTTCACATTTGGTGGATTGTAGCACATATGCATAATCTTTCTTTCCTAGTATAGGAGATTGATACTTTAGGCAAAACACTATGACTAATGCATGTATAAGCATTACCAGTGGAGTATGGACTAATATTAGTAGCTTCTTGAAAACTGAAATACCAATTTAAAAACATGTGACAAATAATAGATTGTTCAGCCTTTTCCGGATACATTTTGCTCTCATGAAGGTATACTGATCAAATTAAAAATCATCAGAGAGAAACACATTAGATAGATGTTTAAGCGTGTGGACACTATTTTCTTTATTGATGCACTGTTTATAAACAAGTCCGAATCATATGTATATTTTTGTGGAGATCGATATATTTTTTGAAATAGAAAAATGACATCAGTAGATTATTTAAGAATGACTACAGAAAACCAGCAATGAAGCTTTTCACCAAAACAATGTGCCAGTATCGTACGATTTGCATATTTTCTCTACCGTTTCTTATGATGTTTGTCACTGATATGTATGAATACACTTTATATCAAATCTGCAGTATTTGCTCTGGCAAAAATATATGGAGAAAATATAATCGGCAAAGAAAATTATGACCATAGGGAATCCCCATTCAGAATTCAAAGTTCATAAATATAGATAAGATATGAATTTCAAATTCCCTTTAATAATAAAGGTAAATAGGTGATTGAGACTGGAGTATGTAAAGTAATGTAAAAATTTAGACCTGTTTAAAGATACAAAATGTTATATTTAGATATGTGATTTATTTTATATATTACACAATATTTTTAGTACAATATTTTAAATTTCTTTGTGATTGTAAACATTCCAACATCTGTAATGCAACTCTTTAAGCATTCATATATACAGAGAATGTCTATGATCAGTTTAATCTCTATGAGAATGTTTTGTGGGTAATGAGTTCTTTCAAAATGTATTATATTATTGGTTTAAATTTTGTTGATTGTCCCCACAAATACTGTACTCCCCTATTTTTTAAGCTTGGTATTCCTTGCATAATGTGCTGATGAGATGTGAAAGGTGTTTGTTTGCATTCTATATGATTATTAATTGTTATATACATTAGTGCTTTATAATTGAGGAGACTATATACTGTTTAACAAATTCTGTAACGACATAACATGAATAGGATAGGAATGGTTAAATTTGTATAGATACCACTATATGTTGTATCAGTTTTTTTTTAGATGAGGAGTCTGTATTTAGTTTTCTTGTCTTGTTGGTGTATAAAAAAGATGGTAAAAAGATATTGCTATTCAGTCAAAAGGGAAAAAAACATGCTTAGCCTAAATTTATAAAACATAGCATTAAGGATCTAAGCATAGATATCAAGTTCTGATATTTTGCTTGTTAAATATGAATAGAGGATAATTTAATGTGGGAAAAATAGCAACACAATTTTTCCGGATATTGTGATTTGATGTGATTTTGCTATGTCGTGTTTGATATTCAGACTTCATTATGTTGTGTTATGGTGTTTGACTCATGACTTGCTTTGTTAATTTTGAAGCATGTAGCTGTAGATCATACTAAAATTAAGTGACTTATCTCCTTTTTGAACAATTACATGCAGCTCCCATCTGTACATGGTGCAGTTAAAGCTATTTTTGCAGCTGTTTCTTCCGTCCATGTGTATTTGTAGGTGATATATGATATGATTTTTAAAGTTTTACTGATCACTGCATTATTTTGAAGTTTCCTTACTCATCCTCTCTTCCTCAACTCCCCAACCTGTCAGACATCCTCATGGAATCCCCCACCTTTTCAGTTGACAACCTGTTCTCCTTCCTCAGATGCATAAATACTCTCTATTTGATCTAATCACCCTTTATCCTTCACCCTTTTTCTCCTATCAATTCATATCCAACTCTATTTACTTCCCCTTTTTCTACTCCTTTTACTACCATACTATTCCAAATGACCATTGAAACTTAAGACATTTTGTTTTAATAAAGAACTTCTTTAAACCCATTTCACCACAATACTTTACCTTAGTGTTATATGACCTTTGATCTCTAGCACATTTGTTTGTTTAGAACATTAAGTATTTGAAGTTTTATTGTTTGTGTTATGATTTAGAAGTTTTACTGATTAATGTAGAACTTTGAAGTATAAATGATGTATGTAGACTTAGGTTTATGATTAATTTTGTAGTTTTTTTTTCAATATCTTTGACATACTTTTTGAAATTCTACTAATGATCCATGGTAACTAAGCATAATAAATATGTGTGTGTGTTTCTATGTGCAAGTGTTACAATTACCTTCTTGGTAATTGATCAAACTGTTCTTTCCTCGTTGTTTTTTACTTTTCATTTTATTTTCTTCTTATCTCAAAATATATATAAAAAGCAGCTGGTGTCTCAGGTCAATTTTTACAAGTAGAACCAGACTGATGGAGGTCTTTTCTTCCAGGAATATTTTCAAGCAGATTTCTGTCTGTAATTAACAGAAGCATATGCCTATATCCTCAGTACTACAAATGATACATTCCCATTTACCAAACTGGAGAGTATGTGCAGATGTCAGAATAAGTATAGAATATCTGTGTATATTGTGATAAAGATAGATTTTATAAGAATAAGAATATTCAAGAAAATAGAATAAGAACTTCCTTTTTAATGCTAAGTAATG